GGCATGAGTTGAAGGGGTGAGCATCCCCTCGGGCCGGGGCTGAGAGCGAGCGGGATGCCCCCGGGTCACCCTGGAAGGAGCGGGCGGGAGCACGGAGGGCAGCTTGCCTGGCAGCAGGAGCACCAGCACCGGCCAAGTATGACAAGCGCGGCACGTAGGCGGCAAGCTCTGCGCCGCTCGGGGGATTAACAGCCCAAACTTCTCCGGTGGAGAAAGGAGGAATGGTGCCAGGGCAGCCTCCGGCCGCGGCGATTGCTCCATTAACCACCTTCACCACGAACGAGCCTCGATGACACGCTTATGACGCTTGCTTCCATCGCTCTCCTCCCAGAGATGCCAGGGGGATCGGCACACCCCAAGGGCAGCTCCCCTGTTGCCCAACGCGGACGGGCGCGACTTCTGCCACCGAGCAGGCTGCGGAGACAGCCTGGGAGAGGGCTCGCCCTTGGCACGAGGGGGTTTAACGCAGAAGGCAAGAGCTGGGTCATTGGAGGAGTTAAAGGCATCAGGAATCTTCACCCAAGTGATGAGGGTCAAGCCATGTCCCTTCCCATGAAAGTCAAGTAAACATGCGGACACAGAGCTGCCACCATCCCCGAGGAGCGTTCCCTCCCGGCGGCACGACACGGCCTGCGCAGGATGGGACACCCCTACAAAGAGGGAGAGCGGGGAGTCAGTTCTCACTATGGTTGCTGGACCCCAGCCACGATTTAGGCATCCTAGAGGGATAACTGCTTTTATTTGGGATGTCACCACGGTTTAGTTCGGATCTAACAGCTCTACAAGAGCTTAGTAAACACTTTTTTTTTTCTTTTTCAGTTAAATGGACAGCGACGCTCGGCTTTCCTCCCAGCAGGGGCTTTTTACTCTGACCTTGGAGTTTCCTTAAGCTGCTCTAATGCCTGCAGGGACACGTGGGGTGAGCGTACAGCCGAGCACTCAGGATCCAGGAGTCATTTCCGTCTCACCTGGGCTGCCCCCAGCCTTCCTCTGGGCCGCCTGACCGCCACCTCGAGGCGCTGCACGCGGACCAGAAGAAGTCAGGAGTCGAAGACAAATCAAGGATTTGACATCGACCTTCACGATCTGCACCAGACGCTTCTCGGCGCTCGTTTCGGGCAGCGTCTCCCAGACAGACTTCCCAGATCCTTGTGGCAGAAGCTGCCTTCAGAGGCTGCTGCACGAAACCGGCGGCTGGGCAAGGGTCAGCCTGCCAGGAAGCCACCGACGGTGACGTTTCCGCAGGCTTTTCCGTCCCCCTTCCATGGCGTGGCACAGCAGCACCTCTCGCCGCAGCCCTGCTCGCTTTTGCCGAGTCCCCTGCAGCTCCCATCACCCAGCCCCAGCGACACAACGTGAGATGGAAATGTTACCGGAGCCTGCTATGCCAGCAGGAAAGCTCCCGAGAGCCAGATCGGGCACTGCCAGCGCTGCCAGCCCCGGCACGGTGTGCACAGCCAGGGGTGATGTCAGGAGCTACAGGGGCAGCCAGCAGCACCCCGTCCCAGCCCCTCCGGAAGGGAAGAATGGCACTGCGGGTCTGGGGCTGGCTGGTGCTCCAGGGAGGTTTGGAATGGGCACCGTCACTCCTCCTGCAGCTCCTTCTTCCGAAAGGCCTGGAGCCTCCTCCCCACCGTCTGCTGGACAATCTCCAGACCCTCCAGGTCCAGTTCCTTCGTGAGAAGCAGGATGGCATTCAGGACGTTGTTCTGTCGGGATGAGACAGACATTGCTTTAGACAAGCATAGAATCATGGAATCACAGAATGGTTTGGGTTGGAAGGGACCTCAAAGAACACCCAGTTCCAACCCGCCTGCCATCGGCAG